AATACCATGACCAACCCCCTTCCAAGCACTATGCTTTTTCCCCTTACATTGAGCACAATATTAACAATCAGATCTGTGATGGGGAAAAGTCTCCTCTCCCAGGTCAAGCCAGTGCTTTTAATTTTTTTCTGCAGTGCAGAGCAGAAAGAGGCAACGGTTGCCTACTTTGACAGACCTGTGTGCCTCTTTAGGTCTCAGTTGCTGTACAGCCATTGCCATTCCTAGTGGTGTAGTGACACTTGCTTTTCCCTGGAAATAAAAATTACTTGACTGAGAATAAATATTTTGACCAAATAAAGCCTCAGGATTAATACAGAGTGCATGGGTGGAACACAATCACCTATGTTATATGGGACTGAGTGATTTAACATCCTTTCTGGATAAACTCTGCTGAGAGATTTCATGTGTGCAAGTCCTGCAGGATCAGAGAAACTACTCCTGGGCTCTTCCTCCCCACCCTCTTCCCCAGACATGAGGTCAGCTTGTCCTCCCAGGCCTGTATCTCCCCACTGGGCCACAGCTGATGGCTCCAGAGACTCATCCAAAACCCTGTTTTCCCCTCTGTCTTTCTTCCTGGTACATGTATCTTGTGTACTTGTGTACTGTCACACAAGTCAGCTGCATGCTGGTTCTCTCACGAGCGTTGAGACACAGAAGGTATTGAGCATAATATTGTGCATTGCTTCTTTGCATATACAAAGTTACTTCTTTATGTGCAACATCAGTTATTAGCAATACATGTTCAAATTGTGAATTCAAACTCAAGGTCTTTAAATGTCATACATTTCTGCAAACACACCTTCATATAACACACTAAAGTCATGTGATCTATGCTTTAATTAGTCTTCTGGTGAATTACCAACATCTTGCTGCTTTGTCTACAGTCTAACCACTTACAAGCTACAATATTAAATTCCTAATTAGTTCAGTCACGCAGCTACAATAATTAGACTTCCCATTTTTAAGTCTTCACAAATTGTTTGGAGTACAGTTTAGAATATGATATTATTGCTCAGACGGGAAGCTGAGACATTAATATATGTATGGCAAGTGTTTCTGCTAATTTTAGGTTTCTACTTTCAGAATCAGCTTCAAAGACTACTTAAAGAACAGCTTTTATAGATGTCAGTGGCAGCCATGTGGTGAACGCTACCACATCAGGATGATCAAGGTAAAACCTTTAGAAAATCTGCCATATAATTATTATCCATTTATAAGCATTTAGAGCATTGCTGTCTGAGTCAAGAGGCAGCAATAGAAATCAGTTTTCCAGAGCAGAGTTCGGTTACTTTAATCAAATGGCCATTCACATTTTATCTTAATTAATTAATTACAGCAAATGAAGATAGGGTCACAAAGCAGCATAATTCACCATAAGTTTCTGATTCATTCTTTGAATGAAGGACACAAAGCATGAGTTTTTGTGGAGCTATAGCAAGAAGAAAATGCAATATGGGTACATAGGACAAAATAAGATCATGTCTTTTGCCTCAATTCCTAAGCACTGGGTTTACAAAATTAATAATGTTCACTAACATAGGTGACATCTCAGATTTTTAAAAGAGAAAATCAGTTTTTCTCCAACATTTTATAGCAAGACACCATGCTGCATCACTAGTTTAGATCCTTTAGGTCTCCAGACCTTCAGTTTATGAAAGGGTAGAGTGTTCTGAAAGCACTAATAACCAGTCTCTGACCAGAGGCGTTACGCAGGAGAAGACATTTTGAAAAGAATCAGTAAGTCACAGGACAATCTTGAGCTTCCTTCTGGCTTTGTAACACAGTACTCACCCTACCAAGCACATTTGTATTTTCTGCTCAGTCTCATCTTTTCCTTGTCCTGGCCACTTCACTCACTTCCATCCTTTCTTGCCTAATCACTACCTACTTCCCGTTATCTTATCCCCTTCTGTCTGTATAGTGTTCTAGTTCTGATCTCACCATCCTCTGACTTCATTCTTCAAGTGCTCACTCCCCTCGCTCAGAAATCCTTTAATTAATTCACTGTTCCCTGCCGTCTCCCTCTCACACATCTCTTTCCTCAGTCTCTGCCCTCCCTGACTAATAGTCTTTCTGATTTCCATTTTCCCTTCTAAGTAGCATTAGCCTTTTCCCTCATCTCTCTGCTCCATTACCCCATCTACCCATCCCTTTGGTCCCTCTTTTATTTTCCTTATTCAGTCCTTCCGAATACATTTTCACCTTCTCTGTCTTTCAGATACAACCAGTATGACTCCCTGATCCTCTCAGCTTCCTGCGCCTCCCCACCTGGAATCAGCCATTTCAAAGTCTGATTTGATGGCTTCGAAGTCTAGGACACTTGGCACCAACAGAAAACCCTTGCTGAGATGACTGATGGCACTTTCTCTGATGAGTGTCACACTGATCTCTAGCATCCAGTAACATCTATTAGAAGAGGTTATTTTTTATTTTACTGCAACTAGGCTTGAACAGCCTCATCAGTTCTAGTGGGATGGCCTGTCAGAGGGCTGTCTTGCAGCCATAGTGATTTTGTAGAGGAATACTTCAGAAGTTCTTATTTCTTTGGGAAAAGGCATTGGTTAGTACAAGATTCCCCTAATCGTTCAACATAGGCAAAATAACAATTCCTCACATTCTGGAAAAATGAAATTATTTTGATAAAGTTTTGCTTGTCTTCTTGTTCAAGGTGTAAAAGACCCACATTGCACATAAAATTTCAGAGCAATAGGTTCAAGTCTGGTAGAGTTGCTATAAACAGTCAAGACAGGTTTTCAACTTAGGTAGACCCTGGTGCTGTTAACGGAGAGGAGAAAACATCCTTACCCAAGCAGCAGTTGCAGGATCTAACTTTCAAAACTGCAGTTTAACATTGTGTAGACTTTTACCTACCCTCTAACTGACATTAGAGTAAATTTTCCTCAGCAAATCTAGTCTTCATCCGTGATTTTCTGTAAAGATGCTAGTTGTTGTGATACACATAAAAATATAGCTAGTCAGATTAATGCCCAAGTTAAGTGAAAGAAATAACCAAACATTATTATTACATAATGGTTATTTGAGCTTGTGCAAAGGCTGAAGTAATTTCACTTTTCTGTTTAGAAATCTGGAAGGGATCTTAAAATATGTTACAAACTATGTAAACAGGAGCACTTTCCTGCACAATCATAAACTTGCACTTTTCCAAATAGTTTAGAATAGTCTCCCACATTTGACATAAAGCATTTGCTGTAAAAGATCTTGGCCTTGAAAACAGCCGTCACCCGCATGAAGCACCAAAACGACTAACAAGGTTCAGATGTTTCTAAGAAAGTTTTTCTAGGCATTTTAAAGTGAGGGTACAGGAAGGAAAAATAACATATGAGAGGGAGAACAAAGAAGAGGCTAAGGGAACTGCAGGTGCAAGCAGAAGTAGGATTGGAAAACATCAAGTAGAGGCACAGAACAGAAAGGGTTAAAATAGTAAGAGTTGTAATTGTTTTTCACAAGGAGCCTGCCAATCCCTTTGGAACTCACTTTGAATACTTTTCGATACTAAGTTTCTTCTGTTTCGCTTAATAATTGATACATGAATTGTTTGAGATTCTGTCACTTAGCCAAAGCCCAGGAAGATAAAACAGCTTTTGTCTCCAGAAAGTTAATCAAAGAAATGCTAAAGGCACAACCACGCACTACAGTTGCTGCAGTAATTACAGCCGATTAGTTTACTAAGAGAAGACATGGGGCAGCAGGCAGGGCAATGCCAGCCACGCACCCGAAGTGACCTGTTACTTTCACGAGGGGGATGAGCCACCCTGCTACTTTCACGAGGGGGATGAGCCACCCGGGCAGACGGTCATCCTTGCTGCTTATTCAGTGCTGCCAGTTCCACGACTAGATTCTGAAATTTACTTTTCTCCATGTTGTAATCAAGGCTGTTGTGCTGACAAAGAACATGGTATAGATGCTGCTTTGTTTTCAAAGAAACCTCCTACATGGAATACTATATTTTACATGGGAACTGCTTAAAGTTTTTCAAAAGATTTAACTAAGTTTTGCAGCTATAAAAATAACTGTATGTGGAGCTCTGTTTCCCAAACTCCTAGTGGGGAGCAATATGCCTTACTAATCTTAAGCAACACTGTACACACAGAAACCCCAAAAGCTTTACTTTAAAAGCAGGAGAGAGAACAAGCTGTTGTTCAATACAGAAGGTGGCAGAATTCAACCCTATACTTCTATTAGTTTAACAAAACAGTTGATATTGTAAAGAGTAGCTATTTTCATCTTCAATTAAAAACCCACTATCTTAATCTTGACATTGTGCAACAGAAAGCAATTTATAACATAATAATTACAGCTAAAGAAAATGATAACCATTAGGAGCATTCAACATGCAGATCAGTATCAGCAGCTTCACAGGCACAGCTCTAACAAGTCAAAAGCAGCACTTACAAATAAGATACTCAAATGAAATGAGAAAAACATTACTAAAATAAGCAGAATGTATGGTGTAACTCCCACCACTCTGAAGTGATTTGCATCTGAAGGGAAACTGAAATTTAGTTGTCCCCATTTTACATGCTATACTGCCTAACATGCTGAAAATTCCTATTACCTGAACAGTCTGTCCTTTGAGAACTACCAATTCTAGCAGCACTTGCACAGTATCATCTCAAACTGCTGAACTGAGTCTAAAATGTGGATTTTGTGACAACTGAGATGAATCAGTTCTATATGTACCTTCATTAAATATTTACAGCAAGTATTTACACAATGTTTAAACTGTTTCTTATTTTTTAATTTCAGCTCATAACTATTAACAGTTACTCTCAAGGCATTAAATACAAAAATATCTGATTCCGACATGCAGTTAGTAATCTCGAGGGACTGCATTACACCTTGATTCTATTGAAAAATAATTGCCACGAAACGTAAAATACACTGAGATATCATAGTTCTTTAAAAAAATCCACTGCTGAAGTTTATCAGCTATCTGCTTTGCAATGCTCAAAACAAGAAAGAATGTCAGGTACACTTACCCCTGGTACCAATAAGCAAGAACACATAGAAGCAGCAGTTAGATGTCATATCTGTCCTTCAGCAATTCAATGAATAAAGTCAGTGAATGTTGTCCCTTAAACTGTGCACCAGCCAGAGTGTTGCTTGTATGATCTGCTTCTGACAGCCTTCAGCAGTGCGTGAAGCAAGCTCCCTTCTCTCCCTGCCTTCCTCCCCTACTCTCCTTCACACCAGGTCTCTCTCTCTCTCTCCCCCTTCTCTGGCACACATGCACATGAAGATTTCCAGGATCACATTGGCTCCTCAGGCTCTGCCTTTACAGGATGGGGTCTGTTCTGCGGCAGGCAAAGTCTGTGCTGTATGCATGGACACGAGTCTGCTCCAAGGAAGGCGGCTGCTGCTGCTGCCCAAAACACAGTCAGGTCCCAAGAATTGTCACCAATAGTCCAATTTTTTCCCCCTCTTTTTTTTTTCTGAAGTTGCAATGCTGTGAGATGTCCGATAAGTACAGTTTTATTTAGTCAAATCTGTTTGAAACCAAATATTTGCTACAGTTTAGATAAAAACTAGAGGTTTTTCAACTAAGGGGAAGTGAAATTTATAAATACAGTCCCTTTGTAGCAAGCCAGTCACTCACTGAAATACAGAAAAATGCATGACGTAACTCATTTCTAAGACTAGCATGTCACTATTTTTGCACATTAAACCACTCTTTATGACTAATACTAAGGAAAACAATTTGAAAGAGCAAACAAGGGTGTTCAGAAACATATTCTCTATGAGAAAAAGTTTTTTTCACAGATTTTCTTCTTTGAATACATTAAGACCTTCCCATCCAACTCTTGATTTTACTGTCTCCAGTAGATCGTGGTATGTACCATCACATGTACAGTCACACGGTTAAAATCTTTTTTATCATGTGAAGGCTAACACTCAGCAACACAGCAAAATATATTTCAAAATGAGTTGGTGAGTAAAGATGAACTTGAGATGAGAAGCTAAATTTTATGTGGCCTCAAAGAGTTTCAGACTTTTTGATTTTTTTTTTTTTTTTTTTTTTTTACACAAAAATCTTGTTAGATTCAACTTCTTGCCAGGATGGCAATTGTGAGGGAGCCCTGGTAAACTGTCAGCAGCTATGTCAGGTGCCTGAGGAAAAGAGCCTCTCAGACTAAGGAAATATGTGCGTCCATGAACACATCCACCAAACAGTGAATTCGGAGAATGGGAAAAATCTATATTATAGTTAAAATCAAAGTCCACATTGTTGCTATGGCAAAGTTGTCTATAAAACAGATATTATGAACTGCCAGTCTCTTGATTTCTACTATAAAAGATATATTATATATATGATATATATAGATATGTCATATATATATTATATATATTATATATATATAAAAGATATATAAAAGAGTGGGATAAAACAATGTTTTAGTCTATGGAAGCCCCCAGAAGTACATTGACATCTATTGTACCAATACCAGTAATAGGCAGTGTAGATGCAAAAATGGATCAAATGGTTTAGGGATCTATAGAATGCTTCCTTACAGGGTGAGAACTAACTTTTGGGCATATCAAGTAAAAATCACACTTGCCTCAAACAACTGTTTAAAAGTTAAGCTAACTCCTAAATACTCAAGGGCTAATACCTGAGCCGAAAAGTGCTTCCAAGGTGAGAAAATACGGGAAGAAATTGAACCAAGAAAGTGAAGAATAAGCAAAATATATTTTCAAGAAAAAGTAAAATAAAAGCTTTACCACTTCAGTACAGGATGAGACAGACCTTATGTTCTAAAGAAAGGATTTTCTTTCTTGTATGCTTTCCACTGTGGCTTTCTGCTTCTGATCTAGCACAACTATGTGTAGGAACCACACGTGTGTTTGGAATAGATCATTTTTACCTGATGATATAATCGATCAAGCAAGCTGCTTCTTCAAAAAGCAGTCTGAGCCACTACAGATGTTAGGGTAAACAGGGAAAACCTCCAAATGTGGTACATACCACTCATATGTTTTCTGTAGCTCTGCCCCAGTGGGACTTGTCACTTTTCAGCCTTCCTCTTTTTCAAGGACCTTTGTTTAGCAAGGATACTCATTAAAATTAATTTTGCTATACATAAACACTCTCTCTATGGAAGATCTACTGAGACCTTCCTTCTTCTAAATTTTTTATACTTTCATAGTAACACATAAAAAAGCAGCAGCAGTTTTCAGCTTGTCCTCTCAGTATAATTACATTTAAACCAAGAAGCTAGAGTTATAAACACACTCATTGCTGAACTGTGGAATACAGAGCAGAAAAAGGAGGAGAGACTATATTTTGAACAATAGTTTTGGCTTACACTACTTGAATGCAATTTTACTTCTTTCTAGAAGAAGCTTGTCTGTGTATTAGAAAGGTAATAAATACTTCTCGCTAAAAAGTAAAAAGCTATGGTATGTTGGTGGTTTAGAGCTCTCTTTTCAAGAAAGCAATAGGCTTTATATTCTAAGTCCATACATGGAAAAGAAATAAGAATTTCATCTATGCTTCAAACAACTTTGAGAAGATATTTGACTTCATTAGGTTGGTCAGTATTTTCTTATATTTCTACTTACAGAAATTTTAAAATTGATGTTCAGTCTGAAGTGTATCTGAGCTATAACAACTTAGTTGTTAGATCTGTGGGGGACACCCCCCCCCAAACATTCAAAAAACATCGTGCCACCACACCACAATCTAACAGAATACATTAAACTCCAGTAATTTCACTAAATTCCAGTAATTGTTATTATGCTATTGAGAAGAGTCATCTCATGTTTCTATTACAAAGTGTTTGAAATCAAATTGAGTGATCAGGGCTTAGAATTAAATAGCTGTAATTATGAGGCACTTTCAAATAAGTTGCTATTAAAGTTCTAGCACCTTTTAGTTTTTTTCTGTTGTTCACATCTGGTGCTACTTAGAAGGAAATTCATAGAAGTAAACAAACCATAGTTGCATGCATTGCCATGGTGAGTGTCAATATTAAAAACAAATATACACTAAGCTGTAAATCTGCTACTGTAGAAAAAAATTAGAATTCCTTTTCAGCTTGAAGAAAAAGGTTTATTGATTCACAGGCTGCAGCTACTCCCTTGGAGATTAACAAATATTGTTAAGGGTTGAACTCAATGATCCTTGTGAGTCCCTTCCAACTCAGAATGTTCTGTGATTTACCTCTGTACATCAAACTCTGACTCAACACTCAGTGTTATAACTGATAAGCTTCAAATAGACGAAGGAAAAAAGTTTTACTCTATACGGGGCAAATAGGTGCGTACAAACTCCGCCTGTTACCATGTTTTTTTCAAGTACTGAGTAGTCTGGATCTCAGATATACTTCTGCTCTTTCCTGTTGTGGCAATTTTCCTTGGTTTAATTAAGAATAATTTCAAGCATGCTTTATGTCATGCATCAAAATAAAGACCCACAAGACAATAGGTATTTCAATGCTGATTTTATACCTAAGAATTGCTTATTAAGCAAAACAAATTTTCAGTTGAAAATACTGACTAGATTGCCAGCTGTTTTGCTGTTCTAGTGAAATATAAGATATGCAGGATGAAGCACTGAAAATAAAACTTGGCCCATGTTGCCACCTGCAGTCATGAAGATTATATATTTTATATTTAGAAATGATAACTCAAGAAGTGAACCACTTGTTTTCTCATCCTTTTGATGACCAAACTCCAGGTTTTGTATTATAACCATGTGAATAATTATTGTGCAAATGAACATATTTGGCTTAATTACATTTAATTTACAATGCTCTCAAAGCTCTGTCAGTACGCTTTGCAGACAGTGCAACTGAGAATAAGACAGTCATATTTTACAGGACAACTCTTACCTTTGGAAGATATATTCCTTATTTAACATCTTCATCCAGGTTCCCTGAGTCCAGAGCAAAGCAAACTAAAGGACCTTTTAAGAGAACTTCACAAATGTCTAAGCACAGAATGAAAAGATCTCATTTACAGCAGCTCTTTCCAAAGTTTAAGCTGTGCTGCAGTACCTTTATCTATCTCATATACTTGTGTCTCAAACCGTACTTTAAAAATGTGCTATCTTTTCATAAAGATTACTCTTTCCCATTTCACAGTTGCAGAGATTTAGTAGGATCTACCTCCCAAAACCTGAAGGGCCTAGGACACCCAACCTAATGGTCCAAGCAAACTCTGTCGGCATTTGCGCTGTAGGGCCTCCTGACTCCTCACTCCCCTCTCCAGACCCTTTTTATCTGCACAGCTGCAGCTGTGCTGGGATTAATTCCACTTGCATTTGGAAAAAGGGGAGAAACTTTCCTCTGTTGGAAAAACTACCTGAGCTTGATGTTCCCTTCTGAAGGGCTTTATTTACAGGAACAGTACAGATTTTTTTTTCTTACTATATATGTATATCCACCAAGAGTCTCAAAACAGAAACCAGTTCTGCCAACCTTATTTGAAGCTAAAGCAAATGTACAAAATTTGGCTCTAGTGACAGCTGCCAGCTGCAGAGTGATCATATCTCCCTTAGTAGGTTGTAGCTACAGAGGCGAACACAGAAAATGAGTTTAATTTTTCCACAGAAAAAAGGCAAACAGAGGGGGAGAGATTCATGGATGATTATTTGTCCCTTACATGTCTTTTGTGGTTTGTAGATGGGACACTAGCTTGGCTGTAGACAATGGTGTACAAGCAGCAGCATCTAGCCGACTCTGAGCTCCTTGAAATAATTTCCTTTATTGTGTAAAAGGTACTCTCTGCCACTGAGTGCTTTGGTGACCCTATCTAGCTGTCCCAGACCTGGTATGGAGGAAGGCCACAGTCAAAGCAAACTTGATCATCACATCCCTCATTGTCTCCTTTCTCCAGCTGTTTGTTCCAGCTGGATGTTTTGACTAAATCAAATAAAATCTCACTAGTGTGCCTGACTCAAAGCTGCTGTTAATGTAGAAAGTACATTTCTTTCAAAATACCAAACATATAAGCTTTGCTAATGATATATTTTCCAAATCAGCCGTTTCCAGCCTTTTAACTGATTAAAGAGTGTGACAGTGTTTCTATGACTGTACAATCAACAGGTATGATGTTAATGGCTTTGGTAAGTTATTTTATTATTTGGGAATGTCATAGGAACTGTACACAACATCCTGCTTTTTCAGTGTGACTCTTTTTCCAAGTTATCCCTTTCTGTCATATATTAATAATATTTAATAATTGCAACTTTTGTTTTACATCACCTAAGCTTCCCGAAGAAAAGAGACACCTAGACATTAATAGCTGAATACACAATAATGGCGGTGTGAAGTTCACAGAAAGTTGACTAGCAATTTATTAACATATTTGAACATGAAACAGTAC